CCCCCCCCCCCCCCCCCCCCGCAAACAGCCCCAGCCGTCAATCGCCCCAACCGCCTTCCAACGAGCCTTCGTGCTCGCTTGGCGTGCCTACTCAGAAGCCAGAGTCCCGCCTGCATGGGCCGGGCGGGGGCCGGGTGGCAGCCAATCGCGCCAGAGGCCGGAAGCGAGGCTTGCAGCTGGATGCCAGCCGCGCCAGCTTGGAGAGCCGCTCCGGAGGAGGGCGAGTGAAGGCTGAGGCGGCGGAGCCAGACCTGGCCGCCAGCCGTTGGCGGTTCCTCCGCCTCTCCTGAGCCCTTTCCAGCAAAACTGAACGCAGACGGGTGTTAGGAGGGGAAGAGAAGAACCCTGTGGCCCAGGATTCTCTTCCCCGGCAGGGTCTCGGAGGAGCTGGCAAGCAAAGCTCGGAAGCTTCTGTAACCTTCTGCCCTTTGTTGTTCAGAGAGGCCACTCCTGGCACTGGAGGTTCCATTAATTCTCCCAATAAGAGCTCTCACATTAATATATACACATACATACATACACACACACACAAACACACACGCGTGCACGCCAGGAGAAGCTGGTGGGACATTGCTTTTTGGAGGTATCTGGAAAATACATGCAAGGATCAAGAGGTTGTAGGTTATAGGTTGGGGCCAGGCTTCATCAGATCTCTCTGAGCTCCCATTGTAATTGGGACTGTTTTACATCTCTTCCTACCCCCCCCCCACCTCCTCCTCTTGGGTATTTGAACAAGGAGGTTCCAATTAAGTCTGTGCTCACATAACATATTTCACCAGTAGCTGAACCTGCACCGAGCATGAAGTTTGGTTAGTTTTAACCTTGGTTTGGGTTTTGTCTCTCTGGTGGTGTGTGTGTGTGTCTTAGGATGTTGTAGAAATCTATCCCCTGTGGATAGTTTATTGTGCAGACCCAGAAAAGAGGTTGACTCAGTAACCGGCTTAAGTGTGCAAACTTCCATCTTGCTGTAGAAGTTCTTTCAAAGGATGGATAAATTGTGGAGGAATTCCCACGGGTGAAGCATTGGGCTGCTGGGCTTTCTTAGGAGTGTGCATGAACGGCCTGTCTTGCACTAGTCCATTCCCTCTCCTGCCATTGGAACATCATTGCAGCCTTTCTCCTTCCCTGGGAGAAGTTTAGGAAAAGTTGTTCTCCTGCAATCTTGGTTTTTTTTGTTTTCCTGTTTTCTCTTTCATTTCAGTTTGAGTGTTTTATGGTTTTTATTGTTACTAGGTTTTGTATGCAGCCCAGAATCATTTGTGAGATGGGCGGCTATATAAATCTGCTAAACAAACAAACAAACAAACAAATAAATATATAAAAGTGTCCAGGCAATTCCTATCCTGGCTGTCGCCCCCCCCCCCAATCCCATTACGGAAAGGAATTTGCACGAGTG